AATTAATTGGAATTTTTCACACACAAGCCTTGCTATATGAGCTCTCAAAGCATATAAAAATTATACGGCTTAAATGTGAAGTTGGGTGCAAAAGAATACAATTAAATCCTCTGTCGGGAAAAAACGAAATGACTTTCCGAACAACCCGATAGTAGCGTCATCGTTGGGTCAGCCTACGAACTTTTTAGCCCGTCTTATACTTAACTTATTAACGCAATAATTTTGCAAAATATCTCGTTTTACACGTTATCTTCTAAGTCTGTCGTTTCTATTTTTTTTCCAGGGAGTTATTCAATCAATGGAAGTTTTCAATACGCCGCTGGCCCTAAACAATTCAATGACGATGTTAAAATAACACCTTACAAGCGGACGTGCCCCGACGGAAATATTATAACTGTTGGATTTGGAGGCCAACTTGGCAACAGGATATGGGAGTACATGTCTGTCTATGCGGCGTATCAACTTTACAAAGATGAGTGCCGTTTTTACGCTTACGTTCCTATGGAAGTCACAAAACAAGTACAGCTTGTTTTTCAAAAGTATGAATCATTCTGTAATTCAATACTTTCTTCTTTTCCTTACGAGCAGTGTTGCCAATTTAGGAGTATCCCCCCCCCCAAAATTTAGCAAATAAATAAGTGGGATAGGATTTTTTTAGGGGGCTTTATATTTTTTAGAGATTTTTTGTATTTGGTTACTGAATTAAACAGTGACCTCTAATACAGAACTTCGTTACTTAAAATTAAAGATTTAAAGACTTTTCTATGAAGTTGCTGCCAGCAAGAACGATTGTAATCTGTTTAAATGTATGATTTGAGAAAGTCAGAACTATCATATGAAAATCAAATTATATTTGGAATGTTAACAATATATCAGGATAATTCCGATTTTTTGGTCATCATCATAGGGTCGTCAGTCCTAAGACTGGTTGGACACGTACCACCACTCTTTCCTATCCTGAGCTAACCTTCACATAATGCATCCCATATTCTTAATTTTTTGTGAACAATAATCTAGTCTACCTCTACTTATTCAGTAAAGGAAATGTTTATAATAAAAAAATTACAAAGCATAATATCGTATTTTATTCTTCGGGGGGGTTTTCCAAGTAATGGTAGGAATTTTAGGGGATTTTGAATTGAGCTTTAGATGTTAAACTTTTTAGTAGTTGGCAACACTACTTACGGAAAATAATGACAACAAAATTAAACAAAGAATAATATTACACTATAATGTCTTTTGTTTTTCGATCTTTCGTACTTAATATTATAGAAAAATATAAAAACTTTAGCTTGTTACTTGCAAAAATATGTATGTAGAATTTAAACCACCACAATTCTATATTTTATTCTAATTATTTATTATTTAGTTACTATTTTTATCGCCGCAGCTACCAATTTGTGATCCTACAAATGTAAAAATTGTTTACCATCATTTTCAAAACATTTCCGATCAGTAAATTACAATATGGAAAAAATAAAGTATTGCTAAAAATTATTTCAATAAAAACAAAACTGAAGTAAATAAAAATATTTCGAATTACTTAGAAGTCTGTTAAAGTTATTCTGTTCCTACCTATGCATTGTGAGATATTAACCGCATATTTTTGCCTAATGTTAATTCTTTAGACATAACAGTCCAATAAAAAATATGTTCGGAAAATGTTGTTGTGAGAGAGTGCCTCAGATGACGCTCGATATTACCGCAACCTTTACACCTTTGATACTGGCAGTTGCAAATTGTAAAATCATTCTCCAAGACCCGTACGATAAAAGAATCTTACGTGGCGGCTTATTATTAATTTCATTGTACTCTATTGATAAACAATTGAATCGATTTTATACCTACTCAATATAAATTGAAGGGCTGCGTGTAAATCAATTATTCAATGACAGGCACGTATTCTGTCTGTCGTACTGCTACATTATTACCTACAACGGACAAATAATCTAGAGTTAGTTAGTTATGATTTACATTCAAATAAAATTTCATTCTTTTTTCATTAATGTAATATAATACTTTTATTACATTACTTTGCTCATAAACTTATTCTCTTAAAGTCTTATTGTTTTATTTAAGACTGCGGTTACCAACTCTAGAAGAACTTCCGGAAATGTGTATGCAACAAAGAGAAAAAATAGCTGTAGCATTTCACGGTGATATTCCGGTAAAAAAATTGAAAGGAAAGAATGCTTTCGTTGAACTTCCAAAATACTCAGCAAGATACGAGTTTGTTTCAGATTATGGATTTGAGAATTTTAGAAAGGAATTAAGGTACGTTACGATTATGAATAAGGCGTTTTTGAATCATTCCTAATTATGTGAACATACCTCTTACCTAATTTTTTGGAATGAAGTTTCTTATTTCTTTTTTTCTTTATTTTCCAGTTTATTAACAGAAATTTCCTTATATTTTCTCAAGGATTGTTACGACCAGAAAAGGATGTTGTGTTATGTTAAATATTTGACACAAAAGGAGATCTTTTTCTTTAGTTATTCAATAAAATATTTTTTACTGACTTCCTCTGTTCTCCTATTCTTCTTAATATCTCGTCACTTCTAACCTTTTCTATTCATGGTAGCCTCATCATTCGCTTGACGTAACATCACATTTCGAACTGCTTCTAACCTTTTCATTTCCGCCGCCCTCTTCGTCCATGTCCATATTTCGCACCCGTACACAATCTTTTTCGAATTTCTAAAGTAACCGTTCGCGAACATAGAAGTGACTTCTTTTTATTGAATGCGACTCGACCCTAAGCTATCTTCAGCTTTATATTCATAATACTCCTTCTGTCCTGACTTTCTAGATACCTAAAATCAACCACTTCTTCTAATTTTTCGTCTCCTATATTTATATTCATTTTTTCCTACCTTTTCTTCCCTAGCATACCAGTACTTTTGTTTTAGTATTTATTTTCAAACAATACTGTTTTGTCAATACCGCTTCCATTTTATTTAANTTTGGTCTATCGAAGCTGTCTGCGACGCGGTGATGAGATCCAAAAAGATCGAAATCGCGATCCGCGTCTGGCAGTTTCGACAGAATACAGACCATTTCGAATTATTTGATCGCTTTTAGTTTCTCCTAGGAGGTGAGTCAGACCCTCTAGAACAGAGCCAGACAAACTCGGCTCTTTTGACGCCCGAGTGCTCCTGAGGTATAGCCAAGGAGCACCTCATTACTCCTGCGAGTGCGAGTGAGATGATTCTTTCCTTTTCTTATCCCTTCCATTTCGTAGGTGAGTCTCCTCTTCCATAGCCGAACCCAATAATATTGCGAACGTAGTCCGGCATGCTACCCCTGAGCGGTGGGACGATCATTAGAAAATTTTCGTAGGTATTATTTAAGTTGCGAGAGTGGCTTCGCTCGTCTACGGGATGGAGGGGCTTAATATGGAAGTGGAAGGGAGAAGAAAAAGAGAAACCAATATGGGTCATTACTGCTTACTCTCTCATACTCATTGAAGGGTATGGAGTGACCCAGTGAACTAGTCTGAGGTAGCGGCTCCTTCGAAGTTAAAGTTTGCCCGGCTTGCTCTAGAACACTCTGGTGTCAGCTGGACGTATTTAAAATCCCTGCTAGGCTTAGCAGGTTTGGTATCTAAGTATCCAGTCCAATCCTCATTGTGCTTGGAGCATCTTGGCGCAACTTTCGTAAGCCGATCAGTAGATATTTCACAGTGATTTATGCATTCATCGAGCGGCATGGCCTAGAGATTTAGATTATGTTTAGAATTCGGAGTTTGATTCAGAGTTCATCTGCCTTCGTCCAAGTTTTTCTTGAATTACTTAGGCAAATTCTCGGGCAGTAATATTCCTCAGATAATCTTTGTTCTCTTTAATCTTATTTTTGTATCATCTTTCTCACCCACCCATTCCCACGATTTTTGAAAAGAGGCTGAAGAGGGTCTTCCGCGCTACTTTTCAGCGTAGTCCGTAGAGACTGCCCGCCCACCAGTGCTATTGGCCGATGGGAATGAAACACCCAAAAGTTTTCTTTTTTTTATTTATGCAGTCTTCGTCGATAACTGTCGTCGTTCCGACTTCGTGGATAACCAGCCTAAGGATAGTGCAATCCCTTCTTTAATGTTAATTACATTTAAAGGCGGGTTAATTAATCTATTTAAGATTGGTACATAGAATACATTAGTAGGTACCCAATTGTATTTGAGATCAGATGTTACACATTATTAGCAACTGCTGTATCTTTTAAAATCTCCAACCAATTTTCTAATTTCAATAATCCTGTTAATGCCTTCTAGACACAGCAGAATAACTTATCAATGATGGAATTATATGATTTCAGGAACCACCATCATGTGAATATTATAATGCTGCAATAACTTACTTTCAACAAAAATATAAAAAGGCGATATTTATACTCATTACTATAGATTTTGCATGGTTAGACAAAAACAAAAAATGCTTGAAACATGACATTAATTTGGTTACAAATCCGGTTCATCCGCAATCCGCAATTAACGACTTAATATTATTGTCACATTGTAACCACTCCATAACAGCATATGGTACATATTCTACGACAGCTGCTCTATTTGCTGGAGGTACAACGTTCGTGTATGATCTGGGTATACCACTGGACTTTGATGGGCCAACGTTGACAATGGGTTTAGCCGAAATGCTTTCCAATTGGTACAAAATTGGGAACAATGGTAGGTTGGTAAGTTCTTTACATATAGGCAAATGAATTGTTGCTGGATTTTGTGTTATAATTTTCTCTTGTTGCGGACAACTTCAAAGAGTGGTCGATGGATCAAATCAAAGATCTCGTTATTTTCTAGGAACGTCCAAAGCGTCTTATTTTGATATATTTTTAATTTTTGAAGGATTAGATTCAATGCATTAGTGAATTGATCTTTTGAATTAACTTTATTCACTACACATATCCTCAAATTAATGAGAAAAAAATTGTTGCTGCTGTTACACCTCTCGTCGGGAATCGAACCCGGACTGTGCGTATTTTACAGAGTACTGGTGCGTAAAACCAAGGGGCCCGGGTTCGATTCCTGGCGAGGGAGTTACAGCGGCAACAATTTTTCCTCATTAATTTAAAGCTATTTGCAGTAAGTAAAGGTAATTAAAAAATTAATTCACTTGTATCAATTTACATTTTAAAAAACATTTAGTTCTTAGTCGGATTTATTAGTACCCCTTAGTAAGCTATGAGCAAATCAGCAACTATAACCCAAGTCCGGAGGGGTCCCCAAACATTTTTATACAATTATCCTCACGAACTCTGCCCAAAAATCTGTGCAAAGTAGATTCTACTAGGGTAGTACCCTATTCGTTAATCCACGTTAGCGCATTACTGCACGAGAAATGTATGCAGAAAGGAATTTGTCATCAAATTGTACAATTTTAAGCTTAAACTAACTACAATATTGGATTAGTTTGACTGTGATAACTCATCCTAACGATTAATAAAAACAACATTAATATTTTGTTTATTATCACTTTTATTATATTTACGTTAGTGTTGTTTTTAATTTTCCTTAAAATTCCTGTTTACCTGCGTTTATCTAAGAGAACGTGGTTTACTACGAAAGCGGAAATCAAACAGTTTATCAAATTCTAGCAATAATACGAGGGTGGATTGATAAGTTTCCGGCCTGACCAAGAAAAACAAGGTTTTTAAAAAATTTTTTTTTTTATTTCTCAACATAATCTCCTCCAAGGCTGATACATTTCTCATAGCGGTGTTCCAGTCTATTAATGCCATCTCTATAGACTGATTCGTCAAGCTCCTCAAAATAACCATTTACAGCTTCGATTACTTCTTC